TACAAACTTAGTAAGGATCTATCATGATCATAAATTTTGAAGGAAGAGTCTATTTTTAAAAAAAAACTAGTGTATTGAGTGAGATAATTTATTTAATTTATAAAACTTACTTTACTTGGAAGCTCTTCCATGTGACACTTATAAAAAAATCATGATATCAAGATATCATATACTCCTTCAATTTTTTTTATAAGTTATTTCTACTAACTTCATCAATGCCAATGCAAAAAATATATATATAAGGAATAAAAGTTTATAGAATTTTAAATATATTTCTATATAATAAATTTAAAAAGTAATGTCATATTACTTTATCTCTCTCATAAAGAGTAATTTTAGAAACACTTTACATATATTATTTAAAAAATCATACCATAATTTATAAATAAAATTAAATAAATTTAATAAAATGTTCTTTGAAAATCGGACGAGAGGGAGTATCAAATATAGGTTAATCTCATCCTGAAACCATCCAGCTAGCGTTCAAGTTTCAAGGTACTGGTCAGATAAAACCTAAATACAAATAATGTGCATGGGTTACATGAAGGCGTGCCTTTGTGTGTGTATGAACACTAACATAAATTGAGATAAAGACAGAAGACAAAAGTTGACAAGCTTCTGATATATCTAGGAAAACAACAAAGTTGAATGCTAGAGTCTTCTTGACATATTTGATGTGCGTGTGCATATATGTGAACATATGGGTAGGTAGGTGCCTATAGAGCTATGGGCAACCAAGATCACATGGTGAAGCAAGAATCCTGGGAAGACGTCTTATCTTTGCATGCATGGTAAACTCAACCGTCCCATCCACTTCCCTTCGGTGCACCCATTTTTTTAACAAAAAATAAAAATAAAAATTATGTCAACACCATGAACAAAAGCAAGCAATAATGCAGAGTGACGGAGAGGGAAGGAAGATAAATACTTAAATCTTTGATGCATTGTAGTATTTGTAACCTTTTTTGGTCCGTTGAATTAATTAGTCTGTTTTCTGCTGATGTGATGCACGATTGAGAAATTAAAGAATTAATAATATCGCTTTAATCATTTAGTTCTAAGTATCAATAATTATAAGATTCTTTCTTTGGGATGCATATGTAAGAAAAATATATAAGGAATAAGATATAGGATATAATCTATTGTCATTTAATATATTAATTATTTATGCTACTGTTTTTATCTATAGGCATATAATAGTGATGAGAAGAGATGTTTCTCGTCAATGATTCAATTCCTTACATACATAATACAGTTAATAGGATTTATTATGTAATTATTTTGTCGAATTCGTGATTTCATCTGCGCAATTTTAATTTAGACCATGTATGTGTGTGTTTAGGTTTGATTTGAGTAGTCAATTGTTATTTGGTTTCATGGTTTCAAGGCTTACGCATGACAATTTTCTGGAGCACATAACCAATTAAGTTGACCCTTCACTGACAACAGAATATTATATTGGAATCATGTGCCTCCCCAATAATCATCAATACGACAGTTAATAAACATAATCTCTGCCCAAATATTAAAATATTCTCTAGAAAATCTTAATCATTCAAGTTAGGTCGACATTGCAGGATGAAATCTCCACATTCGCTTTCTAAGATCAATTCTCTTTCTCAAACATTCAAAGTACTGGATAAATAAAATGTTCTTGACATGCAACTTTTATGATCACTAAATAAATGAGTTGAAAAAAATAAAAATTGAGATTCGCACGATTCTTTTGGTGACACGATCATATATCAAAATGTTGATTAGGGAACTCATGAAGGTGTAAAACAAAAACATGTAAGGATCAAAACAATCTAAGATATGTTGAATGTTAGAGAGATTCTGGATCGCAGATGAGGACAGTGTCTTGAAGAGCAGGTTCGCAACTCAAAATGTTCTGAAATTATACAGATGCAGGTTTTGTCAAGAGAATGTACTAAACTTGTCTCAGACACAGCACTGTTCAACGAATCCGTCCATCACACTGCTTCTTAATTAAATAAATGTTCCATGTCCTAATTAAATTATCACGTATATAATAATAGACATTGATTGAACGATTAATTCATGTGTGCATTAAACTCACCCAATAATGTTTCTAAATTATTTCAACTTTTTGAACATGTTCAGACTGAGAAAATTACAGGACAAGTAAATGTTTTTATGCGTTGTTTATTTAATTTATATTTCTAATCTCTATTAATGTGCAAAAAAATAATTTCAAGGACTATATATGATATATAATCCCGGAGAGCAAAGTTGAGGAGGACAGATACAAGGTTGTACACTTGTACGCTTGTTGTATGATAAGACCAGAGGAAGAGTGTGGAGAAAGAAAACTAAATATAAATGCAATGATATGATAATGTCCTTCAAATCAACAAAAGAAGCGGTCTGAATACAGCCCCACCACAAATGGCAGAGAAGGCAAAGCTTCAACACTTCAATTTAATGTTTTTTGGTATAGAAATTCAAAGGGTTTAAATTAAAAAGGCAAGAATGTTTTAATTAAAGCCAATAATATCTAGCTTGGTAGCTATACATTTATAGCCTATATATAGGTCCAATATATATTGATGCAAAACTTAAATTGGCTACCCGCCCCCACATGTATTCACTCAACATTAATAAAATTTTTGAACTTTTTGAGTTCTATGCATATATATCCAACTTGCTCGCGCATGAATGGAAAAGTCAGAAGCTTAGGACCCTAAATAATTAATAATTAATAATTAATTGATATGGGCTACATGTAGTCCCCTACATGAGTCACGTTTGAACAAGAAATAGTCCATACCTCATTTATTATCTCTGCCTATCTCTTCCAACATCTCACATGGCATACACGTACTGACATTATTCTTGCTCATGTTTACTCCGTCTGAATCATTTCCTCATTTTTCACACTCGCTTTGTTCTCATTCAGTTTAATTTTTGTTTAAATAATTAATTAATAGAAGATTTACAAGAGTCACAGATTGCCTTTCGGTCATTATCCCGAGAATATATACTGTACAGGGATATTTTTTATTAGAGAAAAGACAAAACAAATCAAAACGATAATGTTCTTGCTCTCTCTCTCTCTCTCTCTCTCTCGCCGTTTTGCTTCTCGCTGTGGGGTTAGAAGCTGACATTAACCTAATTTTCTTATATCGAACAACGTACTCGATCACACGGGTCTTTTAACTTTTATAATGAAAATCTGCTAATTAACTTTGCTTCATTAAAAAGAAAAGTGGAGATTTTCTTTGGGGAAAAAGGAAGAAACTAGGCATCATGACACCTCAAGAAATTATATAACTCTCATATTCATATGTATGTAATAATGTCCAAAACTCAAATCAGCACGTAACTATCATGTAAAACGTAACTACCTCGATCATCTGTCTCTCTCTGTTTTTTTTTTTTTTCCCGTGAATGGAAGTGATGTATATAATTATGATGTGAGCGGTAAGCCCTAGGCATGATATTGACTGCTATGTGAATACGTATTCTCACTTCAGTAACGTAGATGGCAATATCAGATTATTAGAAATGCGTCATCGTTTCACGGATTGGGTTACTTCAGAATTGCATTGGACTTTGAAGCATTCAAGAAAAGCTGTGCCTACTGGTTTATATATATATATATATATATATATTCTGCAGACTGAATACACATCAATCTTTCAAAACAACGAGTACAAATACCAAGGCACGTCGTACTTGTTCCAAGCTTCTATCGTTCATTCTGATTTTCTCGCAATTTCTGGGTAACCAAACGGGGAACTCAAGTGACGCAGCTTCTGTAACGCGGATAAGATGGTGCCGTGTCCGTGTCCTTGTCCAATTTCCAACCCGGAAGAATCTTATTCATTCGCATGCTCTCTTGTCAAACGCCTTTTTTTTAAAAAAATTCAGACAAGACTTCATTAAAATCCTTTAATCTTGGATTACCATATCCGTTAAATAAGTATTAAATAATCTAAATTAAAAACTAACCTTTGAAGTTTGAAGTATGATAACGAATTTTTTTTATTAAAACAAATGCTACTGCCATACGTGAATTTTTACAAACAGTAAGAAATTAAATATCAGTGGTACTATATCACATGAAGTTTCGAGGTTAGAGAAAAATAATGTAACATACATAATTTATTTATTATTGATATTAAAAAACATAACCATTGGTCACCATAATTTCATCAAATTTTACTTTTAATCTCTCTAATTTTTTTTAATATTTTTAATCCAGAGAGTTTTAGAAAGATTGTGTGGTTTTTGTTCTGCAAGTCTCTATAATTTTAGATTTTTTTGTGTTTTTAATTTTTGAATTAAAAATATTAAAAAAATTACATATATTAAAAGTACAATTTGATAAAATTATAGGGATTAAATATTAGATTTTTTCTTGATATTAAGCAAAGTTTCGGCCGAAAAATGGTATGCTGTGTTGGTGAGAAAATTAGGAGACCCAAACGTTAAATTTAATCCTTGACCCCGTCGACATCGCCGAACAAATCCGTCCAATTTCATCACCCTTCCCTTCTCTCCACGTGGCACCTGCACGGCCCCCAACACAAGTGCCGGTGCCAATCAGTACGTGCCAATTATTTTACCCATTTAAAATTAAATTAAATCAAGTTTCCACAATTATTTATTAACCACCCATTTAATTAAACTCCCTCCACCCTAAATATGAGATTAAGTGGATTTTTTTATTTCTAAATATGACCTCGCTCTTCTACGTCTTTCTCATTTTATTTAATTTCTTTTAACTGTTGTTCTCATCCTTCTTATATCTCCCACATTTAATATCCTTGTTAAAAAGTGTATTTTTATTAAAAAAAAAGTGATACATATCTTTTAATACAATGGTGATAAACAAATCAACTCAAGCAATTTTTTTAACTGATTAATCGGTTTTGGTATAGGAGAGACAAGGGAGAATATTATATCTTTAGTTTTTGTCCGGCTCCTACACTCGCCAATGCCATCCTATTTATGTCAAATTTGGCTTAATTTGACTTACCTCGCACCAGTTAGTTGGGAAACGCCTGCTTTGCTCGATAAGCTCCGCCCCTTCTCTCTCTATCTCTATCTCTGTTTTTACTACTAATACTCTCTATTTGTGGGGTTCTTGCTGAAGCTGTTCAGATAGAGACCCTTGCTTGCTTATTTCTCCTCCTTCCCTTATCCTTCATCCCCATCTTCTCCTCCTCCTCCTCCTCCTCCTCCTCTGAGAGATGGGAAATTGCCAGGCTGTGGATGCTGCTGCTCTCGTGATTCAGCACCCTTGTGGCAGGATAGAGAGGTTGTACTGGTCTGTCACTGCTAGTGAGATCATGAAGATGAACCCTGGTCATTATGTCTCTTTGATTATTCCATTACCTCTTTCTGAGGATCAACACCAGAACCAGGACCACAGGACTGTTCGTTTCACCCGTGTCAAGCTTCTTCGCCCTAATGAGACTCTCAACCTCGGCCATGCTTATAGGCTCATCACTACTCAAGGTGTGTGAAAACAAAACCCCATCTCTGGATTTCTGTTTACGTTCTCACTTCTGATGACTGACACCTGGTCTTCTGGTTGCAGAGGTTATGAAGGTCTTGAAGGCCAAGAAGCTTGCCAAGACGAAGAAGACTCTCGCAGAGTCGGTGGACAAGAGTAGTACTGTACAAGAGAAGCAGCGTTCTGTGACTGTGAGCGAGGAAGGAGGAGAGAAGCAAGATACGAGGAACACACACGAGGTATCCATCAGAGCAGCACCTTTTGATTTACTACTATTCAATATATAATTTTATATTCTGTGTTTCCTTAATCCCATCTAATTGAGTCCAGCCATGGCTTTGATCTCCCACCTCTGCATCACTGCTTATAAGTCCTATTCCTCTCTGGTAGATATGTGTTGTTTTAAAAAAACATTACTAGTACGGTCCATTCCTTCAAGCACAGAAATTTGTATGTAGCAGAGAGTTGACACCAGAGAGGTCTCGGCTAAATAGAACATAACTTTATGCTTTGATTCATGTTTTAGTAGGATCCAATTACTTCATTAGTGAGTAAATTCTTCTTCATAATGATTTGCAGGCAATAAGAGCAGAGAGACACAGACAAAGAGGGGTAGTAGTAAATTCGGCTTCTTTTAGGTCAAAATCATGGCGTCCTTCCTTGCAGAGCATCTCAGAGTCTGCAAGTTGAATGGTGCTACTGAGAAGTGGCAAGCACAGTGGTTCACACCATTATTGGACTGCCTCTTTCATGTGTGAGAAGTTCCTCCTAGATCAATTCCTGATGCAGGGTCAAAAAAATTTAGAACAGAGGTTTGAAACAGGATGGTCCAGTGGCTACATATTTGTATAGCATCACCAAGTGGGGAAAAGAGCAATGAAAATGAAAAAGATAAAAAAATGAAAGTGAGTTTTGTGATTGATATAGTTAAAGAATCCAAATCTTCCTTTTACTTACAGCAAGACAAGCAGTTTACTTAGTTCTCTTACAAACAACTTCAAGAAAGCTTGTAAAAATAATAAAAATGATGATGATGATGATGATGATGATGATGATAAAAAGGAATGTAAATTGGAAGTCACTATAATTTTGAGTTCCAAACTTGCCAGTCACCGTCAACATAATTTTGAGCCCACAAAAGAGATGCTCTTGCAGCCAGAGGTGCTCCAGGCAATTTCTTCTTCTTTAGAGCAATTAACATATCCGTGAAGGGCTCCACCAATAATGTCCCAGGGCCTCCATACTCCTTGTGCATGAATTCACTAAATATCTGTTTTCCATCCAAGGCGGGTTAGTATGACAACTAATATGTTCAACACGGAATTCAACTATTCCACTTTTTAGATCCAAGCTTCAAACTGGAGGCCACATGCAAACATTGCCAGTTTAGAAATACTTTTATAGATGGCATCGGGAAATTTGCACTCATTTAAGTCCTTTTTTCTATGAGGGCTTTCAATTGTTGTACCCGTTTTTGCCTTTTAGGCCAGACCTGACCTCCTGATAGAAAAGATTTGCTCATCGTAGAAGGAAATAAGTACTCTAGTCAAGACTAGGCCACTGAATTAGGAAAGCTTTTCCATAATTGAAAGTCATGTGAACCATAAAATTCTCATAATGGCTTCGCCAGCATTCTATTGGATGCAAAATTAATCAAAGTCCAAGAGAGAACGATTCTTTCAAGAGAAACAAAATGAAGGCACAAACTGACATATCACCATTAGTGCATCAGGAGACTTTTAAGCAATGTTACTATTAACCAACTCAGCCTCCGATATGATTGTACCAGTAAAATCCAATGCTTGCTCATGATGACAGGCTAAAAGTCAATTCAAATTAATTAGACGTTGATATTCTGTTTTTTGAATTCTAAGACCTGAAGCTCATTTTGATTGAGATGGCAAATATTGAATATCAGCCACGTATCTCCAACATCTTCCTTGCTCCATCAATTCAAGCAAGATTAATAGCTGTGAAATAGCTAAGAACCAGGAGTCCTAAATATTAGTAAGTACTAGCCCCCAAGACCGTTCCAAAACAGCATGCAAATTTCACTTTTATGAAACTTTTAATAATTTTTACCATTGTGACAGTATCTCTCTGCTACCCGGCGCTTTGAAATAATAAGCCACAGGACAGACAGGTGCGTAAATAAAGAAAGCCACGATATTTATTCAACAGCGTTTTAAGTTATGCCAATTTTCCTTCATCCCAACCTTCCCAGATGTAGCCGGATCTCATATTACTGAACCCTCCCCCCCCAAAAAAAAAAAAAAGGGAATCTCTACCTATTCAGGTATAAATCAGAAGTCCGCCCAGGCCCCCGACATTCAATGTCGAATAAAGTGGAAAATGGGAGCGATCTAAGAGAAAAAATGATTCAGGGATTTCATATGCAAAAACAAGTGTCATTCTTTCTTTTGAAATTTCCTCATACTTGTTTGGAATGGTGAATGCAGCCATGAATAGGCAGACCTAAGTTAGCTTTCCCAGAGAAGTTGCTATACAAACCAGTTAACATAGGACCACAAACATGTCAAATCTTGAATAAATTCTTATTAAATCTGAAATACAAAAGAAACGGTCCATATAAAATGAAACCTCAGGCAACTGGGACCATTTTGTCACTCATAATTATTCAGTAGAATCTGTGATATTCTTATTGATGTTGTGGGAAAAGAATGTTGGCCACAAACATTAGTGAACGAATTCCTCTAAATGCAAGAATGTTAGCAATGAATTATGATGGGGAATGTTCTTTAAGTTTAGGTAGGGTAATCAATAAGGGTATTATCATTATATTTAAGGTAGGCTTCGGAGTTCGGACTCATTATAAGAACATGAGCAACAACCAAGGTGAAGTTCTTTACTTATTTAGTCTGCCAAAAGAAGAAAGAAAAAAAGATACTTTCCCCTTTTCCTTGACAGCAGGAGATGATTTTGGCTAGTATGGTAGTAACCAAAGTCATCTTTGTATGTTATACCCCAGATATAGATGAAATTCATGTTGCATCAGAAAAAATAAATGGATTCTCTAAACAAAATGATGGAAGGATAAAACCCATAATATGATATTTTAGTGTTCCACTTCAAAAGAGACGTTGAAAACAGCAGGGAAACACAATCAATAGAAGAGATTGATTATTTTCTAATCAAAGGAAAGTCCATTCAATTCATTAATAACTCAGCAAGATAACCGGTGGGTTTGATGCTTTGAATATCACATGTAGAGTTCTTTCCTTATGTTTATAACACCAGCATCAAAACTAAAACAGGCAAGTATAGGGAAGAGCATATCAGGAAGTATGCATATACCAACTTATTTCCTAGACGAGTCCATATAAGCAAGGAAAGACTAAATATGTAATAATGTTTACTGTTTAATTAAAATATACATTGGTTCCCTTTTCCATTAGTCAATGAAAAGAATATCGAGCAAACATAAGCAATTAAATTCCCCATTTTATATCCAAAATTCAATTTCGCAGGCAGGGCAATAACCATGGCATGAATAAAAAACTAAAAAGACAGAAGGAGAGACAAAGAAGTAAACAAGTTGGAACACAAGAGAATCTCATCAAACTAGATTCCCAAAATTGAGGAGCATAAAGACGAGACCAGATTTTACTTTTCAAATTGATGTCACACCTTGAATAAAATATCAGAAGTAGAGATAGAAGATGAGAGATTATGTTATACGTAGTCCAGCTAAACTTGAAAGATGATGAATTCTTTCATAACTCCTACCATCAATATCAAATATAACACAAGTTAAAAAATTCCTTAAATAACTAAAAAGGTGCAAGATAATAAGGGGAAATATAGCAACTGTTTTATTCTTTTCACCAGAACACCAAGTCCAAGATTGTAACAATAAGGAAAAATAACAAACCTTATCTTACTAGGTGGAGTCGACTACAAAAAAGACAGATCACCTAAGAGATCTGAACCCCATGTACTTAGCATGCACACGCCTTAACCACTTGGCCAAAGCAATTTCTTGTTTGTAACAATAAGGAAAATAGATTAAAAATTTTTTTTAGACTAATCAATTCAACTCTAAAAGCCAGCAAAAAATTAGTTGAAAACCAACTTAAAAGATCAAAAATTGATAAAAGCCAACTGGGTTTGGCGCAAAATCAATTAAAAATAAGTTTTACATTTATTTTGTCTAAATCATAATTTTGACATTTAGTAATAGAAATTTATGCTATCAAACCAATTCTCCCTAGCTCATGTCTCATATATTTGCTATCAGATTCAAAATTTGTCAACTAATTTTTCTATAATTTTCAATACAAAATAGATATTTGAAATATTTCAATTTACTTCAACTATAAAACAATATTGATACTTCAAAAAATTCCATCTCAATTCGACCATGATCAATCTCTTGTTGGAAATAAAATCCAAGATATGGGAATGTGTGGCCATTATTTAATTAAGTGTAAATAAAGTGATCTATTTAGATTAAAATTTTAAGGCTTAGGAGTATAATTGTGATGGAATTAACGTGTAAAAACCAAGATGATATTTACAATTTGTCTAACTGCCAAATCAAATAATCACAAACCTATTAAGGCAATACATAGGAGTTATGGTCAATGGTTTGGCCAGTAAGTCAAAACATTTTCCAGTTCCCTTCTTGGAAGCATACAGATATCCTGTTCAGTAACAAATCCAGAAAACACCCCTAATGGATGCAGGTACTCTTCATGTTCTATCTCTATTCCCAAGAATTAAGGTAGGTTTGATCGTATAGGTTTATATAGATTTGATTTTGGGTTTATATTCTACTGTTCCTTCAAATCTATCATCTCTCTCTCAAAGTCTCAAGTTTGACGGGTCGATTTTCTTAACCTTAGATTGAAAAATCAAATAATATAATTTCTCAGGGCAACATAAAATTACAAGTGATGTAGACTTTCACTGGTCGACACGTAAGAAAAGTATATCTTTGTTCACGCATTTTCTCGAGCGCGTAACGCTCAAAGCACTATGGACACACCTTAATCGCCGTCTCCCCAACTAATGTATCAACCACTTGAACCATAACCATTTTTGAAGGTTATCGAACCACGAGAAACAGAATAAAAGCACAACACGTTGATTTCTGATATGATGCACCTATCTTAATCACATACATTTGTATTATTCCGAAAGAAAATGGCATTCACCTGAGCACAAACATCGACGACCGTATCGAGATCATCCCCAAACTCGTCTCTGTTCTCTGATAGCCTCTCAAACAGCTCGGCTCTGAACTTCTGGGTCTCCTGCATTAACCCATAGAATAGAATAAAAACATAAGCTTTCAACTGGCGAACTTGACAGATAACGGTAGTCAGGATTCACTCTTACAGATTCCGCGAATTCGGGATTTGGGTCAGGGTAAAGGTGATTCTGGGTCGGGGAAGCACTAAGGATGCGGGAGAAGGAGTTTCTTCTGCAACTGAGTTTCAGAGAGAGAGAAGGAGACATGGGTAGTGGCAAGCAGAGGCGTAGCATGAGAGCATTTGAGTTTGAGAGATGAAGTTTCGCGGGAGAGAGCGCGATTGCTGAAGAGTGGGATGGTGATACCACAGAGAAAGTGCACAGTACCATTGGATTGGATCTTCCTCTTCCGCAACTTATTTTATCTTTTTATATTTGTTAAAAATTTGTAATGATATATTATATATTAACTAAATTGAAGAACCCGCCCTTCACATAGAACTAGATTGATCTCAACGGCTATATCTATAACTTGTGAATATTATGATTTTTTTAAAAAAATATATATTATTAGTTAAATTAACAGAAATAAATAATATGTGCCAATAAAAGAAACATAATTTTTGAATTGGCTAGCAAATAGACTTTAACATAACGTTTCTTTTGACCGTTTGATTTTATATATCTGATTTCCACATTTTTATTCAAGTTTTTAAGTCAATATTCCGTTCAAGTTCTTAATCCAATATCCATGATTGAAAATTCTTAAAGGATTCTCATGTTTTTATTTTGCTTTCAAAGTTGTTGACCACAATAGATGTATTATAATCCCCCCCTCCACCCTCTCTTTAGTTTGTTTCTAGACCATTAGTTGAACTTTTGTAATGTAAACATGGTTTTGCTGGTAAAACTATTTTTCCAAGTGTTTGGAAATTAAGGATAAAATAATAAATTACTTCCTCCAACAACAATATAAGTTATCTTTTATAAATCATGTTTAATGAGTATTATGTAGTTTTTATAATTACTTTTTCAACTATTCTCCCATTTCATTTATAATATTTAATGAATATATAATTAAAAATATGTAAAAAATTTTAAGGAAGTAAAATTTCATCAAACTTTTGTAAAAAATCATAATTTAATTATTAATGTCCTAGAGTTATGTTTAGTAATGAAGATTACCATGTGATATCAATCAATTTGGTATTGGACTCATAACCGATATCCTTTTTCTAGGCTTGAGCCCTTGACTAATAATTGATAGAACGGACTGCTCATCTTCAAGACCTAATATGACCAACGGCATATACATTCTCATCCCAACGTGGGCTCTTAAATGGCTTCCTAACAAAAATCCATTTGAGAAAATGTTGGAATGGAATGACAAGAAAACAAAAAAAAAACAACAGATTTGCTGGCCCATCTTCATTTTTTTATTTGTAAAGTCCCCTTCAATATTGTTCCATTAATGGACTAAATCTACCAAAATAAAAAAGGGTGTGGGCCTCAATTTCCTTAATGTTACTCAAATTACAAAATCACAATTGTACTGAAGCGAAAGCAAAAAACAAACCATAAAAACCGAATGCAAGGTCCTATATTTCTGACATTGGTTGGTATGAACATCTACTTCCTCTGCCTCTCCTCCCTGACACACACAAAAACAAGAAGGATATGAAGAGGAAGACACTCTGTTCCTAAGATTTTTTTTTTTGGAAAAAAAGGGATAAACTTTAAGCATAATTTGAAAGAACAAAATCTCATTACCATACAAAGCAACCCAGAAAGGGAAATGCTGCTTTTCAACATAACAGAATAGAATGTGATTCTCCCTTTTTTATTTTACACATGTTATAAAATGATGGGCCAAAATTTTCATCATATATTTAAGCAACAAATTAACATTATAATTTTTTTTTAAAAAGGCACGTTATAGATATAAAGTACCACCTTTTATACAACAGTACAAGTTTGTAAAGTTGCAAATCCAGTGTGCGTGTGTATTATAAAGTAATTTAATCAGTGTGCTTTTTGAAGAAAAAAATCGGCTACGTAGTGCTTTAGACATGTTCTTCTTACATCAATCTTTTTCTAATTCAATGATTCTTTTTTCCCCTCCTTTTTCCCATTTTAGAAGCAAAGCAGGGATTGGTGGCCACATTGCTAGTGATAAAGATATTTTGTGCATAATGACATTGAGTAGCCAGCTTTAGCTTCAATCTTCTATTGATTTATAATTCTTGGTTAGATGTACGAATTGTAAAATATGAACAGGATGGAACCAAACAAGTCCTCAAGCTTTCATCATCACCCCTGTAACACATAAACTATCGAAAGTCTTCATCTTCAAGCTCCTTCACAAAACAATTGCTCTGTTTTTTTGGTGGGGAAGGATATGAGTTCTTTTGAGGGAAAATGATGTGGAATGCACTAATGATGAACTTTCTCTCTCTTTCTCTCTCTTTTTTTTTTTGGCTCATTTATTCAAAAATTCACATCTTGTCATATGGCGCAAGGATAGTTCAGAAAAGGGGAGAAAAATTAGCACTGACTTGATGTTGTTCATATTCCAATCACTTATTGGAGCATCGTACAGATAAATTAAAGAGCATGTGAGAGAGAGAGAAGAAAGTGAAGAGAACTTTCAATTTATCTTTACACTTCATGAGAAAGATTAAAAGAAAGAGATAAGCAAGTGAAGGCAATCTGGTTCACTATGATATGAGTCTCATCCATGCGATTTCTTTGTACTTTCCCAATTCTGCTTTTTTAATTCCTTTATTCGTTCATAATTCAATTGCGGTACAAGCTTTTGGCTTAAACAGCCTCCCCTCTGTTTGCCATCTATTACATCTTTTAATTGCTGGGCCTTCACTCCCTTCTATATGCAATCACCACTAATGAAAACCTTTTACTAATAACCTTTATTTCTCTCTCTCTCTCTCTCTCTCTCATCAAATTCTTCTCCCCTTTTCATATTCTGTCATGAAAATGAGTTTTAGCCTTGTAGCTAATAAATTTCAGACATGTCACACTGCTTTCATATAAAGATCATGTTGGGTCCTTTTTTTGTTTGAATATGACCAGAGCAGGTATATGTATCCTCCTTTTTAAAACATAAGCAATTACATTCATGCAATACAACTCAAACAAAAAACCTGTGAGAATTAGCTATCTTTAATGTGCAATGTGATATATATATGTATGTATGTTGAAAGCGAAAGTTGTTGAAGGGTGAGAATGGTGAGGGAAGAGGTAGGTAGAGTGGCTATATAGAGGCTTGATGATTAAGCAGAAGACTCTTTTGTCTCCACTCTGTCACTAAGGAGGTCCATTGCAAGCACTATCTCAAAGCATTCATAAAAAGAACACACTATGCCATGTCCACGCTCCTCCCTTCTTCACTTTCTGCTTCTTTTTATGGCATCCAATGATACAAAATGCATGTCAGCTGGGAAAAAAAAAAAAAACCTAAATCACTTTCATTTCAGCTCAACAAAAATCCTTCTTAATTGTCTACCGAAATACACAGCTCATGTTTCCTTGGTTTCGGCTTCATGAATACTCCAGCAAAATGACCCTAAAATAGCCTAAATTTAACTGAACAATAAGATATATCAAAATGATCATGTGTTTCAGACATTGTGATCATGATTTGATTATTATTGTTGTTGTTGTTGTCATCATTGAGGTACCTAATCTCCTTCCTAACTTTTCTTTCTATTAAAAAATAAATTGATGTAGAATGGGGACATTGAGTGGATCAAGGACTTGAGAGTAGTGGTGTGTCTTGTATTCAGCATATAATCTGATAAACCCGCATCTGGTAATTGAAGAATCATTCTAACCTTTGAACCTTTATCCCATCAAGGGGCCTATAAGAGAACTTTTTTGCAGGAACCCCACCAAAGCATATGGCAAATTTTCACAACAAAAATCTAAATCTAAATGCTGAATTTTCAGGCTCCCCTCTATCACTGTCATGCACACCAAAAAGCTGGATTTCCCATGAACAAAGAAGAGAGAGAAAGAGTAAAGGCCACATTCCATATCCTAGTTATCCATTCCCGGGTAAAAAGAAGTTTTGGATTTAGGGTTTTATACTTAGGATTCCTCAATACCTCACTTTAGAATAACCATTTTTTTTTTCTTTTTTTGCTGAGTAATAAAGGGACTCAGTGGGGGAGACTAGTTGTTTCTTTTAACGTAAGATAAGAAAGCAAGAGATATGAAGGGCCCTGGATGGCTTATTTTTACTTATTGAAGACAAAAACAAAGCATCTCAGCCTCACTGCAGAATTGGTCCCATGTTCTATTCAGGTGCACATGTCATCCTCTCATTGCTCCAAACATGTTAATCACTGTTTAACTTGCAGATTTGGTAACTATAATTACTCTGCTCATTGCTTTTCCACACTTGTCATAATAATAGGTTAATTATAAGCTCTATAAAGTCATCATCAATACCTAAAGTTCCACGTAACTCCTCTCTCTCTCTCTCTCTCTCTATATATATATATATATATAGATATGTATTTGCCTTCATCATGTACAGTAGTGCATGTCTTTGAAAAAATTACTATACTCCAAGTTAATTTCTTCTAAGACAAGAAAAATAATACTAATTTTTGTAGGATAAAAGTCTTCCTTGACATGGGCTGTTTTATTCTTACACCAATATTATGTCGAGGATTTTTAAATTTAATCTTAGATCAGGAGCTTGGAAGAACCAGCATGTTTTTGTGAGCCAATCAAAATTTAATTAACAGGGCTTGTCCTATTGCTTGTCCCGTTTAATCTTAGGATAAAATGACAGTATTTTTTTTATTAATTGTATTTAGCGTGTTCTCAAATAAATACTGCAGGATCCAAAAAGAACTTTTTTGATATATAAAGGCAAGAAAATTAGTATTAATTACTGAGTACAAAAAAAACTTTCTTAACATGGGTACCGATTTTCTTCTTACATCAACATTATGTCAAGTTTTGTAATATAAACACTAGCTCGGATTAATAAATCAAGCAAACACTTTCTAAAAGCGAGTTGATTATAGATTAAGGATTAGAAAGAGACCAGAGTTTTTTTTTTTTTTTTTGAGATAGTCAAGTTTTTTTAAAGGGCTTATCCTACTGTGTGTCTCTATTAATGGTACAATAAAAAGAAAGCTATAGATTAGTGTCCAAGATTATGGTCGCACATGAACCTCAAAAGGTGGCTCTTGAAAAGATTTGTTATTTTTGACTGGATTATTACCTTATGGCAGCCTCTATATTTGTTTATTACTACGCATAACCAGTTCAGTGGACAACATGGCCTCATCTAATTAGCATTTTAAAAACATTTTTAGGTAGACTAGACCTTCACAAGAACATAAATAGATTAAATTAAATCAATAATGTATTGTTAACTTGCAACTATGTCAAAAAAGTTGGTAAAATATACTTTTTGGTATTCTTATGCAAGTATATACACTCGCACACATTAGCGTATCTACCTTTTTATAAATATGAAGTGTTTCTGAAATACTTAATTTCATTTTGATCCAAATGCAATGTTCATGGATCCCACAAATGTGGCCGAATGAAAAGATGACATATTGCATTATTCTATGAAGTGGGCTGCTGAGGCTCTCCTCCCACCTTTTTATTATTTGGCTTGTGCTAATAAATTGAATAAATTGACTAATTTAGATTTATTAAGTAGGGTTCCATTTTTGCTCAAAAAAAAAAAAGATCTATTAAGTAAGGTTAGCGTGACTGTGAGGTGACTCGATAGGGACAGTGACGCTAAAGAATGAGAATTCATTTTTGACAAGATTAAATGTTTCACATTATTTGTGCATGCATAAATTTGAACAGATAGTGATGTGAACATTAAATTTGTTACTATGGATTTTTCTATTCAGTTTTTTTTTGTTTTTTTAAATGCAACACATGTATTTACTTTGATTAATATAAAAGATTTAGATCGGAATCCTACTTCTCTTTTCACTCTCTTTTTTTAAAAAGAGCTCTGCCGCATGGATATCGTTTTTTACGTTCACATTATCTTGCAGTTCACAGTTAATTAACTACATTACTACTTCTCTATCATAATTAGTCAATCAATCAAGAGTTTAAAACAAACAAAAAATTAAGATGCAGCATTAAACAACCACAAACTTCTGATGAATGAATAGATAAGTGATCCCTTCTAATTAAATTATTACATATAGAAGGACCAGAATTTAAACCTCTGGCTAATTACTCCTTCCATCCCATTTTATAAGACATTTTTAAGATAATTGGTATTCCAAAATATAAGATGTTTTGAAAAAGTAGAATTTTATTAACTATGATTATTCTAATATTACCTCTCATTATTTCACTCTTCAAATAAATTTTTATTTTTAAAAAAGTATTTTTAGAAGTTTATAGAAAAATTAAGATTGTAAACTGTATTTAATGAAATTTATTAGTATTCATAATTTTATTAAAAATATCATATAAATTGAGACAGAAAAAACATCTAAATGACTGAAGCTCCTACCTTTTACATGTGTTTCTGAACTAAAAAATTTGGAAAATTGAAGTTTACAAATTAAAATTGGAGTTAAATTAATAAAACATTGCTTACCCGATCAACCTTCATTTTGAACCCAAAAGTCATTTCAGCCCAATTTTAATCCAGACATAAAATTTTACTTTAAGACTTACTTTTGGGTTTTGCTTAAAAAAAAAAAAAAGACTTACTTTTGGGTTCTGCGCCTCGGTTTGATCGGAACGCACAAAACCTCAGTTTAATAGTTAATCAAACGTAGCTTTCGTCAACTTGAATTGAAAGTCAAATTGAGGAGTGGAAACAGACACTGTACATAGAGGATGCTCAGTGGAAGTTTACAGGAAGGCCTTGAGACAAAGCAGGGAACAAATGGTACGTGTGAAAGCCGAAAGATGATGTGATGATCAAGAGAAATTTACTAAATCATCTTTTTTTATGACCACCAAATACAAATGGTTAAAAAAAATGATTGAGATGAAAGATAGTAATTAAAACTGAAGAGTAATTATAGTGTAGTATAATAAATCAAGCAGAAGGTCCAAGCAAGTAGTACAGGTCCTTGATGGAAGGCATGATCAAATGATTCAGATAAAAAATCCAAAAGCAAAGGGATGAATAGGGAATTGAATGAGCAAAAACTTGTCGCTACGTTGCAATATTTTTCTTCACTCTGGTCCATCTCTGCAGTGACGTGTATTGCTTGTCTCATCATCCACCGGCTGATTTAGACACAAAGGCATGTGGCCATCATATATATGTGTGTGTGTGTGTGTGTGTGTGTATTGCTATGAGAGCATGATAGGATTGCATATAATTTCCCAGCTAACATCACTACGCGTCAATTACCTTTTTCCCATCTCTTTTCTTCACACAAATGAGCCAAGTAAAAAAAAAAAAAAAAAACTAAGGCGGTGATGGTGTGAAAGTTTTTTTTCCTTTAATATATGGATAAACCATACAATATCTTATATTATTGACTAATTCAAATTTAAATTAGCTAGATAATAAGTCATAAACAGCTTAACCTATATATATATATATATATATATAACATCACAAAAAGCAATTCCTTTTAAAAGAATATAGGCATAACTTTTAAAAAATTGGTCATAACTTTTTAGAAAGTTTTATATTTATATATAGATAAATTTTGAACATTTTTGAAAAGCGAATGTCCTTAATTTAATTCTTTTCGTAAATTTATATGGGTAGCATTAGAGATCCTAGCAAGGATGTTCATCTTTATTGACATGTATTGGCGCGGCAAAATTTCATTGGCTCACAATGTACAAGTACTCTCGAAACATTAAAATTAAGATAGCTTGGTCCATATAAATCTACCCAATCTTGCAGGTAAAGACTTGTTCTCCCATGGGATTAAAAGCTAGCTCCTGAGGTAGTTGTCATCCATCATCCACTTCACCAGGAATAATGAATTTGCCAAGATTGATGGATTCAATAGTGTAACTAGGTACTGGATCAATAATAATAATGATACTGAAATAGGAACATGTCTGGGTAAGGGTAAGGCAGGTACTTTTCTGAGAGTTCAGGGCGGGAATAGTAGAAATAGGGATTTGTAGAACAGCCTGGATATGGTCACGAGACGAGACTATGGCTAGCTTTTTGGGAATCATAGTCACTGAAATGAAGCGTATTTATTGCCAGCGGGACCATCAGGTCCCCTTCGCTCCTGGGCCGTGCCTCCCCACGTTACGTTCTAGAGGAGCGGGGTCTTTTGCCTTGCTTTTTCACTCGCTAATAACAACAAAATGGCTATTAACTAACTTCCAAAATATCAAATTCACAATCACATGCCATGAGAGAGACGGAGAGAGAAAAGATCAGTTATCATGATTGCGGATGAAATCTTCGAATTTAATAAATCTGTAAATTATTAATTATGAACTCATCAGCATATAATACACAGACAGCACGCATGAAATGAAAAATGAAAGGTCCCCGAGACCTTTTCTACATTTCTTTAAGCGGAGTTGCAATAAAATAAAATATAAAAAAAAGAGGGCTCTCCCCTCTTTGAAAACAAACAAATCAAGACAATGCAAAGATTAGAATTGAAATGAAAACCCTATAGACACGTGATTCCATACCACGTGAGGACACCAGGCGTTGGAGTCCCGTATAAAAACTCTTGTTAGGCCAAAGCTCGAGGCCACAAGGGAAGAAAAACAAAAGTTCCCGCCAAAAAAAGAAAAGACCGAGAAAAAGACACGTACGTGCCGCACATGTGAAGAGTCTGCACACGAACCATAAAGAAAGTCCACAAAATGAAGCAAACTTCAGCTTATTAGCAATTTTTTTTTTCTTCCATGTGTTTCTCGGAGGGTATTCCAACAAAGGAACGCGGAATTGCTGGCCACGATAAGATGAGAAGCTTGACTTGAACTCCCTTGATATGAATACAGTATAGTTTAGCCCACACTTCAAAGCGCTTAATCGCCTAATTAAATCTGCCAAACCATTTGATTTCTGCCACATATCCGGCTTTTTCCTTCCACACGCTCTAGATCAGTGTCCCACCATCTTCCCGTTCCCTTTCACCAGTAATCATGCCTCCTTTGAATTCCAATTCCCCACTTCTTCCACATTTACATGACCCAAACCATTAAATGCACCTTTCTGATGATCTCTTTCCTCTCTCTCCCTCTCACTTTCCAAGCAGAAATATTATAAATTGATACATATCCCGCTTCCTTGGGAATCTGCGAAGCCATTAATGAATGGCAATACCCTCCCCAGGCCAAAACAAAAATAAATAAATGATAAACTCACCAAACTCGCATACATTATATACTCCATGCTGTATAATCTACACCCTGTTGATATCAAATATTATCCTCTTAAAAATGCTGAGGTTTCTAGACAGCTTGACATTGGACCACCTTATTCCCTTTTCTCCTCCTTTTTCATTTATTCTAGTTTTCTTTCTTTATTTCCTCTCCCTCATTTCACTCGGAGTGCCTTTTGTCATCATCATCTACCCACAAGCAGTTATTTAATTTCCTCCTTTTGTAAGGTGATGAGGAGGAGGAGGAGGAGGAAGGCGATGAGTATGATGACATACTTGACTTTGTTGCAAGCCTAGTTGTTACTCGAAGCTGTGGGAACACTTTGGGGGGCCTTGTCTGGCTATTGTTAGTCACGAATTCTCGCATGATCTGGTAGCAACCTATAATCTTCTCCTGCAACAATCAAATTTATATTTACTTTGGACCTGAATGATCTGTTTGTTTCAATCTAAACCACTATTTTCTTAATCATAAATTACCGTATTAGATGCTTACTTTTCTAAGCCCCTCGCACCATGACTCAGCATGGTCAGGCTTGACGAGAGACCAATTAGGAATTTCATTCGCTGCACAGAGTATGGAGGCGGCAGCAATGCACGATGGCCAGTAGGCAAGAAAACTAGCCTCTGGACAAAAAGAAAGCATTTTTTTTTATCACGTCATTACTTTCCGCTTCCTAAATAGTTCAAATTCTTTACGCATGACTATAAAGTTGTGAAAGTAAACCTGGGATATTTGATAAGATGATTTCTGTAGCTCGTGAAATAAGGAAGCCAGTAAGAGTTCCACTTGAATCGAGCTTGCATGCAAAGAAACTGAGGAAGTTGAACGGCGTGACTGATCTTAGTCTCCAATCCAAAGCACCTAGAACAAGCAGTTCCATCCTACGAATTGTTTTCGGTTCAAAGATGTATTTGGCACCTTCTACCTGTACACATTATAAAGAGACATATGATCGTGTACGTAACTAATGACAAGCCGAACCAATATAGGATTTGATTAATTAATTTCCTTTCCAAAAGAATGCGCTTACGGTTAGGATGTGTTTTATTAAATTTGATTGAAAATGATTCGATCGGGGGAAGATAGAATAATATACCTGAAGATCCACGAGGGGCGGAACTAAAGGCTCCTCCATCTTTGCAGCTAAAGACAAACAGGCAACGGACAGAAGTTGCAGTGGCCACCCACTTGCTTGCTGTAAACATATCAATGGGTGATTGGAACAATGGGCCAAGAAAAAAAAAAAGCAAATGAAAATGTAATTATTATCGTACTCCTTTTTTACAATACTATTCAATATTCAGTATTTTAAGATAAATCCCAATGCAACGCACGTGCCAGGATGAGAGTGCTAGAGGCTTTAAGCCACCATCCGTCACATTCACGTCAAAGTATACATAGTAATATACCTTGTATCTACAGCAAGTATATATATAAAAAGCAAATGTGATTAAAAAAAAGTAAATAATATCCAAGTTTATTCTATACGCGTTAAAGGTTAATGGAATAGTGAACCCTTTTGATTTGCGAGAGAGATCCAAGAGGTCCACGAAGAGCAATAAAAGTCAAATGCTGTTTATTCAAAATTTCAGTCTCGTAATAAGTATAGCACCTATGATATACAATAATATACAATAGGATATTTTTAGTAGCAAAAGGCGATAGATAATTTTCGTAATTTTGAACGTACTGTATGCAACAGTATTTTTTTTTTTTAATGGGCCAGCAGTATTTGTTAATAGGCTAATAGCCCCACTTTCCATTCATCAAACACATTGGCATCAAATCAAATAATTTATGAAACATTATTTCATGACCTTTTCAGGTTTAAAAAGTCAAACATAATTACCGCATAGAATTTTGCCACTCATTATAATTGCCAAAGAAATTTTCCTTGGATATTCACATTTCGTTTTAATTTCTGATATCTGAATATTATTATTACCCACGAAAGAGGAATCTCACCGGCAACCGCCCAGAATCCAAAAACCGATCCATATAGTTGACGGAAAGATACGCCGTCAGCGGCTGAAACCCAAAGTATGCCTGTACCTGCGAGACACGATCACCAACACGTATCGTCAGAAGTAGAATCCGCATGGAATACAGTAACGGCGCAGCGAACGATGGCCATCGCCGCCGCAACTTCGCCGGAGTTTGTCAGTTAGGAAAAGGGAGTGTGTGATGAAAGGTTTAGTTAGATCCAGAACGTTTCCAAGAGACGGTTAATGCACTAATGAATTGTGAATGCATTAGGCGGGATCCAGTTAAGTGCTAAAAATGTTGGAGTGGCATTAAGGTAATATCACTGCATCGTAGTGCCCGACCATTAAAGATGTTGATAAAGGTTCTTTTTACTCACTCCTATCGGCGGGTCATTAGTAGACTAATTACCTTGAGAATCCATGCAACAGATTCCTCTCTCGCGGAGGCATCAAGCGATTGAGATTGAAACCTAGAGAAGTAGTCGCATCCTGGAACGAAGCTGCGCTCGTGTTCGATGAATCCGGCAATCGACTCCTCCGCGGACGACGGAGAGGAATCGAGGTCGAAGGAGCACTCCGTCGACTCTCCGGACAAGATTCCGGAGGTGTCCTCGTCGCAGAGAAGGTCGGAATCGGGGAAGTAGTCAGTGCAGGAAACCGACATGATGATCGCCGCCGGCTCCTCATTCTCTCCCCATGGTTTCGGCGGAACGGTTGCCAGAACGTGACAGGAGAAGTCGCCGGAATGCTTCTGCAGTGAGTGTGGGTGTGGAGAGAGACTCTGCTAGATGAAGATACTGACTTGGTGTGAAGGCTCTCTATCTGTTTGTTTGGGTATAAATATGCGGTGCGTGGGTGAATTTTCCTTTTTCCTTTTCCACTCAAATTTTCAAATGCATGAACGAGAGTTAGGAACTGGGAACTTCGGGAATAGATTTTCCCGGGAAAAATAAAAAAATGTCACATTTTGGGGCGAGCATATATATTTAAAGCCTAAATGTTACTGAATTCTTGCGGGAAGGAAAGTATTTAATTTTTTTAATTGATTAAATAGTCATGTTATTCATGACTAAATAATAACATGGCTATTTGATCATTTAAGTTAACATTTTTTTTTAAATAGATGTTAAGCAACTTATATAAATAAGACAAGGTAGAAAATCTCTCATGGATTGAATGCAAGTGAATGGTTTTGACTCTTGACGCCGAAAGAAAATATAATAATATCAAATAATAATATATTTGTAAATAATATTTTTATTTTAATTAACCCGTTTGGTAAATTTAGTGAAATGGGTTAATTTATTTGGATTATTTCAATCATATGTCAATATTGAACCTTCGTCGAGCAGTTCCATGTGATGTCATGTGAGAATTGTTTCACAAGCGGCAAAATCAAATTGTTCTTTTTTCGGTAACGACAGGGGTAAATTTTAATTTATACATTTTAACATGCATAAATTAATTTTAAAAAGTGATGAGCCATTGTCTAGGGAAAAAATTGGAAGGAAAATACAAAGAAAGAGAGAATCAGATAAAACTGTGATCTCATTTTCGTGAGTGAAAACAAAGAAAGAAATGGTCTTTTGAATTGCCGCTAAATATTATAGCACTTTTCATAAGCTTTGGCTGCCATCATAAAGTTTGTCTTTATCCCTGGCAACTTGGGTGAAGTTTATTGGACAGAACAATTTTTTTGGATGGATATTAAAAAATATATGATATATTTATAACGTCATTTACTTTTCATTATATTCTCATTTTCAGAAGGTATCTATCAAGTTTTAATTAAGGGAGATATTGTTTATTTTGTGTTATCCCTATCAAGGTTTCATTAAAGAAATCTCTCCAAGCTGAATCGTTAGACCTCCAAATCTCATTTTTCTGCTGGCAAAAAAAGAATGTTTTAGTTAAAAGTAAAATTTTACCACCCAAAGTATACTTGATATATTTTTTTTTTTAAAAAAAAAAGACTTGGTTTGGATAGAAAGAAAAAGAAGAAGAAGAAATGGACTGGGAAAAACTAGGAATTTTTTTTTCAAAAATAATAAACTTGTTTCCTTTTTTCAAATAGTTTTCTCTTATAATTTTCCTTATTCTATTTTTCTTTCCATCCAAATAAAGGATAAAAGTGCATTTTTATTGTGTAAAAATCTATATTCATTGCAAAAAAAAATAAATAAATAAAAGTTTGTGATATTCCAGAAGGTAGGTACAAATTCTGGAATACCTGAAAGTATTAGGTATCATTTCAGTAGAAAAAATCGAATCCGAATTTGATTGTTCAGTTTTTTTTTTAAATGTTAGTTGAAATATATATATTTTCTCTTTTCTTATTTTTTGCCTCGTTTTATTGTGTCATTCAAACTTTGTCAAAAATTTGAGCAGAAGTATAATTTCTTGAAGCAAGATAAAAATATATAAAATCATCAATATCAATGATCAATGTATGTAATAAAATTTATAATAATTAATAAGCATAAATAATATAGTTTGCCCAATACCGTAATATTTACTGACCACGAAAAAATTGTTTACATAGCTATATAATATTTAATATATTATTGTAAACATATATCGAATTGTAAGCGCAACTTATTCCTTTTATATATATATATATATATATATTTAAAAAGGGGGGGGGGGGGGAATAAGCGACCTACCAGGTGTGTTGAGGATTTGCCCGCCACACTGGCCATGCCCGCCAATCTTCAACCGCTAGCAAAACACGCGCCATGTGCAGCGTCCTTTTTCCTCCATCGCATTACATCCGTCTCAATGCAATGGAAATTGTCTGTTGTTTAATCAATATTCGAATTTGAATTGTTTCAACAACTATTTGACTTAGTACTACTTTTTCATATTTTTTATATTTCAATTCCTGAATTTTAATTATATATCATATGAGATGAGGGCAGTCTTTTTACTTCTACTAAATATCCAGATTTATTAGATAAAGGTTAAAATAAACATTGTTTTCACCTCATTTTTTTTCAAAAATTTTAAATTAAAATGTTTTCATCTCATTTTTATTTAAATTGTTAATTATAAAAATAAAAAATAAAAAAATATTGGAAGATCACTTGCTAAATGATGTTCGACTAATTTTATTTATATGATAGAGAGAGATAGTATTTATTTTAATCTTACTTATAGGATATCTCAATAATTATTATGTTTATCTTTATCATTTTGTCTTTATTAAATCTTGGATGTTTATCAATTAATGATAGATTATTTTATTTTAAAGTAAATATATTTAATAGGGAATAAAGTTAAAAGCTTGTTAAGTTTTTAGATAAAATTAATAAAATTTTATTTTAATAAAAATGTTGAAATTGACTTGTATATAAATAGCACTAAAGGGAGTATCAATGGTTGCAAATTTTGCACGGCACAACATTGATGCTAGGATTGGGAGGAGATAAAAGCAAAGGAAAAGAACAGTGGGTAGAAACTAGAAAATTATTATTATTATTATTATTATTACTTGGCTACATAGAGAAAATGAAGGAGGAGTAAATCAGAAAGAAATAACATTTGAAACTTATATATTTTACTTTCAACTTTTCTCTTCAAATATTAAAAAAAATGTGAAGGGAAAACTTAACTTTTAAATTTATTCATTTTTTTTTATTTTCAGCGTGTTGCCTTCCTTCATTTTCATCATAATTGTCGGTCCACTTTAGTACTACGATTATTATATATTTAAAAATTTAAGAAATAAAATTTAAAATCAGACAAAATAATTTTTTGCTAACATCAGATAAAAATATTTTACAATTATATTTTTATTCAACCAGTAATATATAATAAAAATTATATAGATAATACATTAAAATATTAATTTTATTATATATATAAATATTTTCTATAAAGAATAAAGTTATTGTTATTTATATAAAATTGCAATTTTTTCTTCCTCATGTTTTCTACACCTCAGCGAAGCATATGGTAAACAAAATTATATCACTTCACTCTTTTCTTCTCTCTATTTTCTTTCCTCACATTTATTCTTCTTCATATTTTCCCTTGTGGGCCTAGCACGTCATTGTGTTTTTCTCATGAAATTTTGTGTATTTTTACCTGCACAAATTAATATTGTTTGCACATTCCAAAACGCCTTCCTAATATATATATATATATATACATATACTCTCTCTCTTTTAAATTATAAGATACTTTTAAATAAGTTTCTTTATTTTAAAATATAAAATATTTTGAATAAATTAATATTTTATTAAATACATTGATTTTAATATTATTTTTTTTATAATTATTTTCCTTCCCTTCTATTTTTAATATATTAAATGGTGAGAATTTTTAAAAATTTATATTTTTATTTTAAAAAGATATGATTGTTGAATATATTTAATAAAATTTATTAATATATAAAATTTTATTTAAAAATATTTTATAATTTAAGATGAAGGGAGTATTTGTTTAACTAAGTCTCATAAGATATTAATTAACTATGAATCAATAACTGGTCATCTATATTCGATTAGTATTTATGTCTGCAAGCCCCACCGTCAGTGTTTGGTTCCCCAAATCTGCGTGATTTCATATATTTTTTAAACATATAACTTATATGTGTGCGTATTACGAGCATATAACTTTTATGCGCGTGTGTGGCTGTACATTTTTAAGAGACACGATTTAACGTGATGAACAGGTGAACGCTGCATTCAGTAATATAAAACATTAACCGCTTGCAAATCATGTCCCTATTATGCACCTGACTTTTAGGTGTTAAATTTGGGTTGACACAACTATGCATTTGTTAATTAAAAATAAAATATATTTTAAATTTGCAACCCAAACATCATATATATAATTCTAACCTCAGATTTAAATTGGATGAGTAATTTAAATTCAGCCACTCAATGGGTATTTGATTTTATCAACGCGTAAAAATTATTGAGATGTGTTTTTTTCAAATATTTCAAAATAATATACTGCTGTCTCAAAAAGTTCAAAGTTTAATATACTTTATAAGTATTATATGATAAAATTTCTTCCAATCACTTGATTAAGAGTTTAGGGTTATAATAGTGGTCTCCCTTTCGCATGTAATTAGATAGTGCTCAGTGCCTTTCTGATTGCATACACTTGAATTGAAGCGATAATACATAGTTATTAGGATTAATGAAGCTAATGCAGAATTTTCAATAACTTTTTTAAAAATTAATTTTTTTGTGGAAACCATCTAATTATGAGTTTTTTTAAAAAAAATTGTTTTTTTAGCGCCAATCATAAGGGGGTGACAGACGCTTGAAAAGGGAGGTTAGCAAGTGTGCCCAACAACCCAATATAAATGTGAGTACTAGGGACATGATTGCCTATCAAATCTTGGCCGAGTCATCATGCTCGATATATAAACAAAAACATCCACTGTATCATCACTTATTCATTCACATCTTTCCCAATACTCATTTACAATGAAGTGGAATATTGAGTTTTCAAATGCGGCAAGTAATTTGTTAGTTTTGACTAAAATCTTTCATTTGCATATATAAAAAGTTATGTATTTGAATTAAATGTAAATTCAAATTCATTATTTATTATATAATTTATTTATAATTTTAAATTATTCATATATTTTAATTATTTAAAATTTCAAGTACTTTAATTTTGTCATTCTTTTTGTATTTTCACAATTAGTATCTAGGTCATGTTTGGTTGTTAAAAATAAACGTAATGGAATAAATTAAAAAATTAAGATAAAAATAAATTAAATCACCTTTCTTCCTATAATAAGTATGATAAAATTCATTAATATATATTATAAATGTAAAAATTACCATACCCTTTAAAAATTTCATGAATCATAATTCATGATTTCACGAACTAAGTAACTCCAT